GCTTACCATCCCGTGTCGAATGCAGTGCCCGTTGCCAGCTTGATCATGACATCTGCCTGTAACTGAGAGATAACACCTTCTGCCCTTCCACAGGTCTATTGCCAAAGCCCAGAAACTTGCTGAAATCAATGCCTGCTTTGCCCAGCTCGCCCTTCAGCCGCGACCGCTCGGAGCGGCTGCCGGCGGCGGCGCACCGCTCAGTGAAGAAGTCCTTGAACTCCTCCCAGAACACGATGGAATGGCAAAAGAACTTGATCTCGTGGGAGTAGCCTGACTGAACGGCGATGGCGACGCGCGCCTGTGGATGTGCTTCACAAAACCTTTCCCACGAGTTGAAGCGCGACTTCAGCTGCTTAGCTTGGTTAGCTGCACCGCTCAATAGCGGCGTTGGACCTAGAGCCTTGCTGCCGGACTGGGCACCATGCTCATGTGTGCTCATGGGGGTTGAGTTCGTTGGAAAAGCGTATTACGGTTGCTGGGATGCCAACAGAACAAACGGGAGGGAGAATGATGCATGATTGAGGATGATGTCCCCAATGACCCTCCAGGTGGGGGGCCATCATGCCCATCATGGGGCACATCCTTACCGGGAGGCCTACCTGGTAGAATGAAGTAGCGAGAGTGTAAGACTCAGTTGCTGTCTCGCAGCTGGCACAGCAGGGTGCCGCCTGCTGCTGCCGCTGCTGCAATCCTCCCCCTCATCTGAAAGCTGTGCCCTCACAGCTTGAGCCCATGCCGCAGCTTCTGCCGCAGTCTCTGGGTGCTGCTAGTTGCCGCCTCAGGCCGCGTCCTCCGTGGCGTCGGATGCGTCGCCGGTGGGCGCGCCGCTGCCGGTGTCGGAGGTGTCGGTGGTGAGGCGCTGCCGCTTGGAGGCAGATGCTGGTGCGGTGCTGCTCCGCAGGAACTCAAGCAGCACAATCCGCTCGCGCTGCTCAGCAATCACAGCCTCCTTAGCTGCAATGATGGCCGCGACCCATTTGTGTGACAAGAAGTCGATCAGACGTCATAGTCGCGACGCCACGCTGGCGTGCGCCGCTGGCGTGTGCTGGTCCGAGCAGCAGGTGCTCGCGCAGGCTGTTCGTGCTGTGTAGATGTTGGTGAAGTCATGTGGGTGTCTTTGTTGTCCGCCGTGCGCTGTGCAGTGGTGCTTGCTGCAGGCGCTGGCTTGGCCTGGTCTAGCTCTTGCTTCATTTTGCGAACATCGGAACCTAGAAAATGTTTGGCCGGCTCCCAAGTCGCCTCGCTGAGTGGGTAACCTTGCCAGAGGACTAAGTACTGCGCCAGCTGCCGCCCGCCCTCAGTGATGGTGCGCTTGCGTAGCAGCCTGTCTACCAGGTAGACATCATCATTAGGGTTAATAATATATAATTGGGGGCGGTCGCAGCTGAGTCTCTTGCCGCTCTGGTGTGTCTCGTCGTGAA